TTCAGCGCATTGGATCGGCTGGTTAAGTGGTGAGCTGGCGGTAAAACACGATGCAATTAACGAAAATCGCTGAATTGGCGAAAAATTCTAAAATGTCGACAAAAATCACCAAAAACACTCGAAAAAGGAAAAAAATCGTAAAAAATGGATTACGATCGTAAAATCGTAAAAACAAACAAATTTTCGTAAAAATTCTGAAAAATTCGCAAAAGTTGGCAGGTATGATGTTAGCCATGGTATGCTTTCGACTCCTAAGAGGTTGTGGAGGGGGTTAATAATTTTCTTTCACATCTAAACAATAAACGAAGCTCCAAGATATATTTGTTTGGCGTGGCTTATTGCTCATACGGGTTTTCTTTTGTTGGCACAGAAGCTGGGAAGACAGAAAGAATTAGGTTTACAAAACTGAAGTTAATATAGAAAATTCTGTTCTTCCTCAACTTCCTAATCTAATCCAACTTATTATTTTTTGCAGGCTATTACTATTATCATTGCCATCTTATCAAAATTAAAGCTTACGTTTTTGATTATATTAAAAAGAGTTTCTAATTCTGGAGCTGTAGAAGGATCTACTAAGCAAAAAGATACTTGTAAGCTTGCTTTCTGTAGTGGTCTTGGTGACAGGAAACAGCATGGGGATAATTTGGGGTTATGATAGTGAGATTTCAAAATTAGGCAAAACAAAAAATTCTGTTTTGGCATAGATTTGTTATAGAAGGCAAAATTTTCGGATTATGAGAATTTGTGAAGAAATGTGATGAAAAGATAATAAATAAAGATGATATAACAGAAGTTTTTGATTGTAATTACAATGCCCCAATCAGCCATTAACTAACAAACAGCAAAATCTGTACTATGTTTTTAAATCCAGAACGTATCGCTAATGATAGAGAAACAATTGATAAAGAGGCTTTTGTGAACAAAAAGATTTTGATTGACAGTTTAGTAGGAGTTTTCAACATTGCAGTTACAGGGCTTGAACAATGGAACTTTGTAACTAAAGAATTTACGTTTACCTACAGAATTAAAGAGAAACTATTAGCACAGAAAATAAACAGCTTAAACAATTCACATAAAAAGAAAGTTTAATAAAACAAACAAATATTTTTTGGGGTAATATTTGATTCCTTTAAAATAATAAATTCTTCTTTATTTCAAAATAATTATTTAATTTTAATTTTATATTTCTACGTGAATAAAATTAAAAATAAACAAATACCAAGATCATAAAGAGGAAAAAAAAAAAAAAAAAAAGATTAGATTATAAAAAAATTAATCTGAAAATTCAGATTTTAAATTACGTCCAAAGGGGTGTTTTTTTAACATTTTGTGTATTACCTTTATTTATTAAATATCATGTTCTTTGTACTTAAACCATAAAATTCAGTTCAATAGCAATATCTGAAAATAATTTTAAAATGAGCATATCTTTAGAATTTCCGATATACAGTATCTCACACTGTAGATAATTTTTTCCCCCCTGTACAGTGTTGCTATTGCTTGCTTTGGAATCGTTTAGTTTGTTAATCAAAAATTCGTTGAAGTGTTACAAAATATGAAATCCATAATAAAAGAAATTTCAAATTCAAATTAGAGATTCCACATGCCCATAATCTATGGAAGATTACGTTATTCAAATTTTGATAGCTGTAGGTACCGTTGTTTTATCACAATGCGAGAAACATGCACACGCATGCAGTTCTTCATTATTTAATTCCTTTAAATTTAATACAGGGCGATAATATTGGGTGGTGACAATTTGAAGTGTGAAAAAACGCTTTTCGTGAATTGACGTGAAATGCCAAAACGATTAATAGTCCTTCTGGGCAAATTGCCCCTTTGGTCTAATAATTCAATTGTAGATGTAAAAAGCAATTACATGACATTTTTTTCCAAAATGAGATTAATAGTGAGAATGCATCACTACACCATGCTTCAAAACATAAACTATATAAAAATTAGGTTCTCTGCGCAATGTCAATCAAACGCAAGGTTGTAATTCACAGAAGATGTAAAAGAGGACATGCACACTCACATGACCCATTTTTATATTGTATTCAGTGACTCCCCCTCCTCTGATGGACTTGCTCATTAGTCACTGAATCACGTTCTCAGTGGCTGATTGCTTATGTCACAAATACACATTACTAGCTTGTTTATGGAGCTGTTCCCAACAACTTATAATAGAATCCAATTCATCTAAGTCATCTGAATGCCATGAGGGTGAAAACACTAAAATAATTAAGATATTTAATAATCAGCAGAAGGGTGACCGAAGAGAGCTACATGAATCATGCTGGTAAGAATCTTTATGTGCAGGAATGATTGTAATGTGGGTAAAACTAAAGAAGGTTGCTTCCTTTGTGATTTCAATAAAATTAACATCTTGCTATTACTGTCACATTTGAAACATGTGAATTTTGCATTTGGCAGTTCTATAGGTATATAGATATATTGGGTTTTAATGAAAGTTTCCCGCCTCCGCATATATCATCCACGCAAACAGTTAACACGTTGTCATGATTAATCACATTTTGTTAAACAATTTTTGGCATTTGAAAGAGAAAGAACACTGTGTTATGAAATTTGTAAAAAAGATATCATTAAGGTGTCTAAAATGGAAGATCAGTATGCAACCACTGGAGAGCTTGCTTAAAGAGTTAGACATTAGTGCATATCCGTTAGTTGTGCCATAAAACGCATAAACTTAATATATAGTTTAATCACTGTGTGGTGAATGAGCTGACTCAAGCAGATAAGGACAGATGTGTTCAGGCTTCAACTAATCTGCTCGAATACCAACGAAGGACAAAATTCTAGACCGGATCATCACTTGTTATGTAAAGTGGTTTTACTTCAGAAACACAGGATGAAAAAGGGGTTGGTCTGTACACGGTGAGCCTGTTGGCAGCGTCACAAAGCAAAATTAGACTAACAAAAGAGATCATGCTTTGTATCTGGTGGGATTGCTGAGGTATTACCCACAAAGATTATCTGGGAAAAGGTAAAATCCTCGACAGTAAGGACAGCGAGATGCTAGTCTGTGTTGACATAGTAATTAAGGAAAAATGTCAGACTGAATTATGGTTGCAAAAAAGGTAATGTTCCATCATGATAATAATGCGAGACCACATCAGCAGCTGGACTTTGTATGGAATCTTTTACCACATCCACCATAGAGCCACTATATCGCTCCTTCAGACTTCTATCTTTTTTCTCACCTACAACTACATCTTACTGGTGCTATTTTCCATTCTGCACAGGATATCCGAAATGAGACCGATCTGTTTTAGGACTCGTTACCATCAAGTTTCTGGGCCGAAGCCTTTGAAAAATGCCAAAATGCTAGCAGAAAATCACATTTGGGTGATGACTACTACCTACTCTAAATGTACTGCTTTCATATTTTTTCTAACTTTATTAAGAATGTTTTTCAGCAAAAAATTTTCGTTACAACCAGATATTTTTTTAGGGGGGTGAAGGGAATCACTAGTTTATGCATTTCGAATTTATGGATTGTTTTTTCTTTTGCAAATTCGATATAAGTGGTATAATGGCTGGTATAGACCAAGATTAGACCTTAGGAACCAATACAGCTGTAATTAAAAGCCTTTTTCCAAAAGATAATCAGTATAGAAAGTGTACGGGTTTGTTCTTATTCTTTTAACTGCATTAAAATAAAAACTGCTTTAATTTTGTATATTTTGAGAGTTTTCAAGTACTACCTCAGGTGCCTTTTCTCTTATAGCTTCTAAATTCCACTAACTTTTCCAAATGTTTGTGCAGTTTATCGAACCAGTTTGTATATTGATCACTTTTTGTTTATGACAGGCTTTAAAGTAAAATATGAATAAATTTCTTTGCAAAAACAACTAAATAAGATGAGTTGAACCCATTTCAGTTAATTTTATGGAAATTATGAAGTAGGCAAGCTTCTATAGAATTGTGGTAACCTTTCATGGTTTATATTCAGGAGATACCTAATGTTTCCTGTTGTAATAGTAGTATAGTTTTGGTAGGGATTTTTACAATGATGTTTAGAAGTATTGACGATATTGCTCATTTTTATGATGGCTGGACATGTCAAAACAAGAACGACACTCTGCTCATGGCACTCGCTGAAAGTGAAATTTGTTTCCCCCAAGCAACTGAGATTTCAGCACAATCAAGTGCATCAGGAGAACCGATCAGATCTGAAAGCCAGAAGAATATGACGAAAAAACGTAATATTTAATGACAAGTAGGAACTAATCAAATCAAAGAATTCAAGAAATGGGAGGCTATTTTCTATAATAAGTCGTGTATCAGATGAAAGTTATGGTGGCCATATCAGAGAAGAAAAATTTCAAGATATTATTAATGTGGCATTTTATCATCTACAACCCATTTAAAGCCAAGGCATCTCCTTTCATATGCGGTTTGAGACAAGATACGCTTACCCCAAGAAAAACTTGCAGCACACCAATGACTCTACTAGACCAACCAGCATTTAGTGAAGGAAAAAATTTGTTTAATGAAAAGAATGCCACAGATGTTCAAAAGTACACTCAATACATACAAGCTGAATATACAGACTTTTACAACGACATCACACAGTACCTGACAAAGAGAATAAAAAGCAATGAAGAGAATGGCGACAAAGATGATCCGTTAGTTGTGTTAGTTAGAGTTTTATTGTTATTAGGAACATTTTTGTCTTATTTCTACTTATTGTTTATTATTATACTTTTAACATCTTTTCAATCCTTTCACATTTCTTTATATAAAAAAATAAAATTTAGTTCTCAATACTATGACATTTTTTTAAATTTTATTTTTTACAACTGATAAACTGTACCTAATTTTCTTAACAGTATTTTTCTAAAACTATATTATCTTACTGTAACATCTGTTTTTATAAGCAACAACAAAGTTTTCATATCAATGAGTGTTTATAAATTTTGTGCCCAATCTTAGAAGAAAAAACATTCCAAGTTGTAAAAAAAGAGGATATGTGTTAATTTTTTTTTTTTTTTTTTTTTTTTTTTAAGAGCCCACGAGCAATTAAATTACAGGGATCCTAGTTATGTGAATCTCATAATTTTTTGTTGTTTACTTCGAACATTTTTGTGATTAGTGAGAGAGTTTTTTTGCTGCTCCTGTAAAATTTGGCTTTTGCCACATATCCTCTTTTTTATATTTGCCATTTCAATTAGTTGAATCAATTCAATTAAGCTTTAGTGCTCCATTGGCTCTGCTACAGGGCCATCTGGCATTAGTTCTGCAGCGGAGCCAAATGTAACTTCCTTTATTTATGTTTTTTTAAAAATACTAAAAGCTTCATGGTATAAAGATTTTAATTTCAGATACATCATTGTAATCCACTATTACTTGAAATGGATCATTCTTCATTTTTTTTTTCTCATTTTCTTCACATTTTGTCTCCTTCAAGAAATTTTCTTAAACTGAATAATTTTCAGTAAAGAAATTTATTTCAAAGTCTATCAGAAGTTTCTTCTTCAATAAAATCTTCATCTCTATGATCTTCTTCAGGTATATCACAATCATCTTCAGCCTGAAAATGCAGGGGGTTTTCATCTTTGTTTTCAAAATGTTTTTTAAGTACTTTTCTCTCTATATGAAACTGCTTTATTAGATTTTTACGGTCAATATCTGCTTGAAATGCAGTACCTGGGATTTTGCTGAATAAATCATTATTGGGAAAGTTTTCTGTTGAAACCACTGCAGTTGGAAGAGTAGGAAATTTGGATTTTTTCTTTGAAGCAATAACTCTATCCATTAAAATGTCATGCTGAAGGCCAAAGACATTAGATTTCATATCAGTAGGATTTTGTGGTACAGAATTAGATTTCTTAGAAATATTGTTTTCAGAAGCTTTTTCTTCAACTTTCTCCATCTAAAACATTAAAAATAAAAATATGTGATTATACTATTTATAAATTATAAACAAATTTTTAATATCAATAAAAGCTACTAAATTATTAATACATGTGTTGGTGTTTATTGATTTTACTGATGGTCAAAGTGCCAAAGGAAAAATGTCAAGTTAAGCACCATAATCACACATACAAAAAGTGGTTTTAAAAATGGAATTTTTAATGACATTGAAATTTTTAAAGCAGCAAACCAATTGTCAATGCAAAGGAATTTCATTTTTCAGGCAATTTTTCACACAGCATATCCATATGGCTTCCAAGATGGTTTATAAGATCCACATGGTTTATAACTTCATTTATGATGATTTTAAAATGTGGGTGGAAGGTAAAATTTTCACTCAAAGGTAATAAATTGAAAACACAGTCCCTGTTTTTCAATTTATTACCGGTTTTGGTTTTACTATATCGACTGGTGATAAACACCACTAAACTTAATGATAAATCACTGGCAAAACTGGACTATCACCCATGTAATAAATATTTGCAGATTAAATTCATATATATATATGTGGTTGGGGAGTTGAAGATGCTTTGCTAGGGTCAATAAACAATTCCAACATTTTCCACACTACAGATGACATTTAATGAAAATAACAGAAAAGGTACATATTGAATTAAATACAAGTGCTGTTGTGCCTTCTTGTGCTTGTTAGATATAAACACCGTTCTTTATCACTTTTAGAATTTAAATAGCAGCTTAGCACCTACTCGCACTAGCTGTCGTATATGCAGTCAAAGTACCACCTCCTCGTGGAGACATCTTACCACCTTTGCGTGGGATAGAAGACTGTTTGTCTACATATCATCTTCCTCTTTCACCTTGCTCTCGCTGATGGCACATAGGTGAGGCCCTCTGGTGGCTGTGTTACATGTACGAACACCACATATATATATATATATATATTTCTGTAGACAAGGGTTTCTAAAATACATTAGTTTCTAGATTATTTTTTATAACAAATTAATTTTTTTTTAAATTTAATTTTTTTAAAGAAAGTTTAATTTAATACTTGACTTTACTTGCTTGTTTCTCAAAAGACTTCATTAGTATTTTCCTTTTAAAACTTTAATTCTTAAATGCTAATTTATAAGGGTAACACTTTATTGGTATTTCTTTTTGGACATTCTTCACTTTTTATTTTTGGTTTTGACTTTTACCCTTGCCTGCATGAATGACAAAACACAAATTGAATTATTGGAGAGTTAGGTTTGGAGGCAACTTCCCCTTGATAAGTCTATCTCCTGCCTGCTCAACAGTCATTCATTTATGCATTTTTAAAAAAATTGTTTGGATAAATTTAATTTGCTAAATTTGTGAATTTATTTTCATGGATTGGTTTTGCACTTGATCTGCTTATGCTTCTGAATTTAAAGGATATTGTACATTAGTTCGAAAATTAAATCTTTTAAGTCTTTTATATGTTAAATATTTATTGTTATATTTTTTAAATCTTTTTGGCTTTAATTTTTTTAAAAAAAAATTTGGCTTTAAATTTGCTTTTTTACTTTTTTACGTTTTTGTTAAAATTTAAATTTAATTTGTTTAAACATATATATATATATATATTAACTACAGACTTATTTTTTTTTAATTACAAATAATGGCATGGTTCATAATTTGCTTATTTCTTTGTTATGTAGACATGATGGCAAACTGCTCCCCATTAATCCACACCAGCAACAGCTTCTCAACATCTTCTAGGAATTTTGGATGGTGATTAGAAGTAATGGTAACTCCTTTGGCCACACTCAGAATAGTGCAGATCGTTGATGTCGAACGGCTGTAAGTCTTCCTCAATTCCGTCATGCTTACACCACACTTATATTTAAGTATGTTTAAATTCTATGATTTTATTCTAAATTTAAACAGCCATGGCTTCCTCCCCCCTTTTTTCAACACTATCTGAGGCAACAATCTTCTTTGGAGGCATCATGAACTAAATATTTTCACATTAAATGTAAAAAACAATTAACTCAAGAGTGCACAAACATGTGGATCAAAGAAGACCGAGTGATCTGATGAAAGGATTCCCTGAGTTGAGATCAGGAAATGCACCACGCATACCAACAGCCTGGCTCATTGTTCATATTTAGAGACTAATTTTTTACTCATACTTCCCTCATATCTCGAATTTCTCGTACATAGAGGTTACTCATATTTCAAAGTTCCACAGTATTATAATAAGAATAGATTATTAAATCTGAAATATGAGAAAATTATATACCTTGGGTGTTTTGAAAGAATATATATTTTCTAGAAAAGAGTCATCTGGTACTATCTCGGGACTATCTTTTGGTTCCAAATCAATATTCTGCAGTGCCTCTTCTATAGCAGCAGACTGGGCATTTGAAATATCTCGGATAAAAAAGATTCGAGGCACTCGTCCTATCACATTTCGGCTGATGAGTTCTGACCTGAAAGAATGCCATTAAATAAATCTGAATTGATAGCATATAATTTCAAAATTTTCACCTCATTATACAAGAAAGTTAATGAATGCAATAATGTTCCCCTGTATCTGCAGTGATATGCTTCAAGACTTATCATAATCATATCAAACTACAGATACAGCGACATAGCCAGTGTGATACAGTCGAATAGTCAGTTCTGAATTTGGAAAGGTGTTCATTTGTTGAAATGAAGTTTTTTCAAAAGATGCTAATTTTTGTAATATTTCAAATAGTTGAATCTGTTTCAATAGGAAATAAAAAAAAAAAACTCTTGATTTTTATTATACATTTGTAAAGGAATATTTAAATAATTGCAATTTAATTTTACATTTAAAAAAATCAAATGAAATTTTTTTTTATATAAATAGTTCCATTGCATTCTTTGTACTCTTTTCCTAGTTCTAGTATTCTGAATGAAAGTAATAAGTAAAGGTGATAAATATTTCACAGCTAAAAATCTTTTGTGGTATCCCTACCATATAATTTTGTTTGCACTACATACTTTTAACACTACTGTAATAGTATATTAATATATACTACTATTAAACCTCCCTATTGTGTATACAGAACCATGCAATTGCCTTTAATAATATGTCACAAAATTCCAATTAATGATCACAAAGTTGAGTTCTAATATTTTTTCAAACAAAGGAATAATACATAAAAAATTAAATTATTAATTATACATTACTTTTGCTTAGTCATTTAGTTTTATCCCTGAAATCTGAATAACATTATGAAAATAATAGATTTAGTCACATTCTTTTACACAATTATTTTTTTAAGCTGCTTATGACCTTCTTTAATAAATTTTATAACAAGTGAATTTGAAATGTACATAAATATTCAATAATGACTTATATTTATTTCCAAAAATTTAAATGTTATTTCCAACAATTTAAAATTAGAAAACTTTTCTTCCTCACTTAAAATTATGATATTCAACCTCTACTACAAACTATTTTATTTTGGTTGGAAGTATTTAAAAATAAACAAATCCAGAATACTGTTAGAAACAAGCACATTAATGCAATGCTTGGCACTGTTCTCTGTTATCAGGACCGAATTCCAATTCAGAAATATATGTATGGATATATGTGTTCATGTATGCACATACTTTCATATGTACATATATACATGCACATACATACATACAGATGTGCATACATTCATACATTTCTGAATCTGGTCCTAATAACAGAACAGTACCCAATACTTTTCAATAATGTTTCATTTTCATACCTGCCCTATTAGCTGCTTTGATTAACTGCACAAGCTGTTTTGCTTCATTGCAACTTCACTTCCCCATCCACCTTATGTCTCCAACCTGGCCTTGTCAGATTTTCATCTATTCTCTGTTTTGAAGAATTTACTTCACTTTCACTCTGATGATGAGTTTACTGAGGTAGTCATTCAGTAGTGTAAGACTCAGAACAAATCATACTATACGATGATTATAAACAAATTGTAACAGACAATGCATAGGTGCTTGATATAGGCTTCTGATTACATACAGAAATTATAATGAGAAACTGCAGCTCAAAAAATCACTTTACTGACAGGCTCAAAATGTTTTATTATTGATATTCTCATTCAGGTTTACTATTTCAGAATTAATTTAATAGTCATACAAAGACATTCACTGAACCAGAAATGTTTTTCTTTTCTAATTTAGGAAAACAATGTTATAAGTTAGTTATATACCAATATTGAAGCCTGTCACTGTTTTCTATGAGTAAGATCTCAAAGAAAAAAAATACATTGATCAAAACATCATCAGTTTGCATAACAAAGTTCGTTAACACCAGAAACCTTTTCCTTAATTAATTTTTCAGTTTTACTTATGGGCAAATGCAAACATCTTGTTTTTAATTGATGTACAACTTCTGAATATAATTTCAAACTTTAACAACTCTTTGTTATTTGGAAGTCACTCTTTCTGCATTTTATTTTTTAGAAAGCATATCAATTTTTACTAAATATAAACATATCAACTAATAAAGACTACATGAAAAGTCAGATTTTTAAATTTGCATAAAATTGATTTTTCAAAATTAAAAAATGATGAAAAGATGAAAATCTACGTTATTTAATATACTTTTGTATTTGTAAATCCATGTAAACTGTAAATCCATGATTAACAGTTATGAAAATAAAGGTTAAATAGGGATTTTTTTGAACATTGTGTAAACAATAAGTAAAGATAATCCAAAATAATACAATTATCTAAATCTATGAAGAATTGTATACATACCATGGTATATGTTCTATCATTTAAAACTATTTGAAATCTTTCTGGAATGGTAACATATAATTCTGAATGATAATAATAGATTTCAGAAAGAAGATATCTAAAATTGCACTAATTTTTTGAAAGACTATGGGACAGAAAAACAAAATCTTACAGCACAGACCACACTGGTTCAATGATATTTAAGTCTGCTTATTTGAATGCTAGAGAAGATCAGTAACTTCATTTTAATGCTTTTCAAATTGAAACTGAATAATATGATTTCAGTGAAAGGTGGCATTGGCATCTTGAGAGATGCTGTGAATGAGCTAACTTTTTGCCCAAATAAAGAGTGACATCCTGGTGAGGGAAATGCAAATTTAAGAGTTTTGTTTCAGATGTGTAATGAACTTTGCTGTAGAAAGAACTGAATAAAAACTGAGACAGTATTTTGCGCCAAGAGTTGTAATTCAGATGTGTAATGGATTTTGTTGCAGAAAGAAATGAAAAAACTGAGAACAGTATGTTGTGCCAAAAGCACACAGTGCTACCTATATTTTTATTTCAATAGGTATTAAGCATTTGTAACCTTATGCTAAATCATGGATATTAGTTTTTAAAATTGTTATCAGAGTTGGATTTATATATGAAGCATGTCTATCATTCAGCCTAGAACTAAGAATTTTGCTTATGCAGTTTTCTTCATATTCTATGTTAAAACTGAGTTCTGTTGATGCATAATTTTTTATTTTTGATGCAACAGTCTACTGCTTAACTGTCAGTAAGTTTCATTTTCCTACAAAAATTGTGTCTCCAGAAGATGTCTCGCTGAGAATATTACAGTACAAAGTCCGAAATCCGGACGTCTATTATCCGGAATGATCTAAAGTCCAGGACCTCAAAACCACAAACAACGTTTTTTTCATAGGCTTTACGCTTGCGCATTTTATTCCCCCCTATGTCTATAATAAAACATCTGAAGAGTCCCGATCCTTAATTTCACTCCAATACTAAATATAATACCTTGTTATTGAAGAAATAATCATTTTAGCATAAATTTGTATGATCAGTAATTTGGCTCCGTTGCTGCATATCTGCTTTGGCACACATCTCAAACTGAAACATTCCACATAGATACATCGTTGATCTGACGCACCTGGCGAATCATTATTTATCATACTTTTTTTCATCACCACGTTTATCAAAACATGACATTTTGAGTAATGACTAATGTAGTGATGCCTAAACATTTTTTTTATGTTAGTAATTGAATAATAAATGAGTATGGTAACATTTTATGTTGACATTACGCTTGGCGATGATTACAGATTTAAGTTAAATGCGTTAAAAAAAATGTTGACGAGGAAAAATTTACCAAAAATTTCTTTCCATATGCTAAAAATAAACTCTGTTGATGATACCCACAGACCCAAAGATTACATTTAGTATATGTGTGAATAGAACTTTCCTTAAGCATGTGCAAGAAATAGACATAAGTATAATAAATAACTAAATTAATACAATTCAGGCTTAATTGTCTCAGTGCACGATTGAAGCAAGATAAAATTTAGTGGAACAACTTATCGTTAGTCACCAAGCTCGTGATGCATAGCCAAATATGTATAGTGAAGGATAGCTAAATTTGATGATAATAGCCACTAATTTTTAAAGCTTTCAGGCAAAACAAAGGTGAAATTTTCCAATTAATGGATTTTGTGATTGGATCATAGCAAAGCCCACCTCTTGGCGTGCCCACTTACATGGTGCGTATCGATCTGTACATGGACAAAGTCAAGGGAGTATGCAATTCTCTGACATGTTTTTAAGTGAAAATAGGTCGATGTGTATATGAATACCGAGTTTGTGCAATTCTTGTTATTTTCAAGTTGGCAATTTTGAGAAACGTGCGAAGCAGTGGGTGATTCTGCACTTTCCCAGTTTGTCGCCAAGGGTGTGTGCTCTCCTAGGATTTTACTGATTTACCAAGAAACATGGAGAAGCGTTAATAATAATGAAGATGATATAAAAGGAAGTTTTTCATTGTGATGACAATGCCTCTCAATCATAAATCATTAATGAATGGCGAAATCTGTAGTATGGTTCTAGATCCAGAAAATACCGCTACCGATAGTGAAGAAAGTGACTAAAAAGTTACTGAAAATGAGAAAATTTCGATTGACAAGTTAGTCGGAATTCTCAAAACAGAAATTACAGGACTTTAAGATTATGTCTGTCTACAGTATTAGCAAAAAAAAAAAAAAAAAAAAAAAACGAAGCAACTTAAACAACTTGCATTGAAAGAAATGCTTAATAAGGTAAACAAATAAATATTAAGATTTTTTTTGTAAATTTTGATACCCTTTTAGATCATAAATACTTCATTATTTCATAAATCACGTTTTAATATTTTTAATTTTATAATTTCCACATTCCATCTTACTAAATTTAAACTGATAATCTAATATTCGGAATCGCCGAAGTCCTGACAAGTCTGTATATGCTATCACAAGACCAGACACCTCTGAATATTTCCAATATTTTTACAATTGAGGTTATGGATATATCATCTAGCCAGGTACCAAACATTCTAACTCACTATGAGCTAAGTTTTAAAAACTAAGTAAAATTTCTTATTTTACTCAACCTTAAAAATGTGTGTAAACTAATCATAAATAAATAGTCACAGCTACTTTTTGGGGCAGCATATAATTGACAGAAACAAAATTTTTCAAGC